AAACATGTACACCCTGGGCCTACCATTAACCTTTTATCCCCCAAATACAAATCTAACTGCACATCATACCTTGGAATTTTTTATTCTCTTTTTCATAAAATGTGTTTTTACTTTTCCCAAATTTCTCTTTCTAACATAGCTCAATTAAAGGCTCCATTTACATTTTCCCGGGCACCCAAATTTACTATACTCCCTACAAATTTTTCCCCGCTTTTGCATTAAAATCCCCAAAACCCAAGTACTCCCCAAGGGTTTAAAATTTCCCCTGCATTCAAAATTTTCCCAAAATCTCTCTCTTCCTCTACACTTTTTCCTACCAGGTGACCAATAAATTTTCCCAACCCACTTTTTTTTTTTTCCATAACCTTGTTAATACATTTATAGTCCCTCTTTTCCCCCCTTTTGCTTATCCTTAAATTATTGTATCCTTTAGTTAAAATTATTTGCCCCCTGTTAAATCCCACCCTTAAAAACTTTTCCCACCCCTTTCAGCTTTGTTTCACTTAACCCAGGAACCCAGTTTTCTATTAAAAAAAAATCCAATCATCTCTTGTATCATTTGCAAAACATCCACCGCAATTCAGATTTCCCACTTTGACAATTTTCTTTTTTTCTTTTTGCAATTTTTCGGAAAAAGGGGGTTTTATTTGCCATTGTTCCCCAGATTTTAGTTGCTTTACAACCCTGGCTTACGGGGAAAGATTTTTTCCACTTCCCCAAAAAGGGAAAAAGTAAAAAGACCAAAAATTTTTAAGATAAAATCAAAGAAACTCAGTAGTGTGTATAAATAAACGGTACATGTAGTGTAGTGTGACCTAAGTGTAGTAGAAGTAGAAGACATCCCTTTAATCTTGCATATTTTGGACAGACAAAAACACCAGAATCCTACCACATAATCTAACCACAAAAAAAAACTTTTTGGGAAAAGAACTGCCTTTTATTAACAGCATCAAAGCCAGCACTTCCTAAACAATGTAAAAGTCTATCAGTATTAACTACAACATAGGTCCTTAAGCAAACACTATGATGCCCTCCTGGCCCCTTTGAGTCAAAAAAGACACCCTTCCCGCATTTTTTCTACTGGACCTGGCTTAAGCGGGGAACCAATTGATATCTACCCATACCCAGGATAACAGCAACCCACAACTGCAACCATACCAAGTTGGGGGGTGGTACTGCAATCTTTACTCTAACCAACTATTTTGTATTAGCCTAATTGCTTTAGTGATGAATATGGGGAATCTTTTTTGCTAATTTTACTGAAAAAAACCTCAAGAGCCTATAACAATCGGGCCATATACCAAATACCCCACCAACTTTCCCAAACTTCATGAAATCTAAAGTCACTAGTAAAAAACAGACAAATAAAACAAGACCCCTTTCTTAGCGGGAGACTTCAATATAACCTTGGCCTCCAGTGATCAACTGTAACTGTTTTCATCAAAAAATATAAAAAAGGCACTTCTCTTTCCAACAAAACAAACCCAACCAGGCTGAGGGAAAAATGAACCATACTAGACCACATATGGACCAATTTTACTAGCCCCCCTTAAATCGGGTAACACAGACAGCATACTGACCATCCCCCAATTTTCCCTCTTAAACAAACTTTTTGTAAGCCCCCCTCAAATACAACAAGTTTCATTTAACTCCATGATGAGGCCCTCAAAAGGGAAATTTACAGCAGACCTAGAGACTGTTGATGGCCTACAGAATTCCCCAAAGGGGCCAATGGTATTGACGACGGACAACATTTTTCTTAACAAACTACTTAGCTATCAACAAACATTGTCCTATAAAACGAAACAGATCACGAAAACGGCTTGGTTCCCATGGCTAACCGCACATTCTGAAACCCATAAAGAAAAACCCAATATGAAAAGAATAAAGAGGGGGCTTAAACACAAAGATATTCTTAAAACTTTTCATCAGTCCTCCCCAAAATAATAAAACCAAACAACTTACTACTCATAGATTCATGCACGGGAGATAAAAAAAAGAACCTAAAAACCCTTTTCCCGATTCTGGGGACCCACAAACAAAAAAAAAACAAAATATTGTTCTAACAAAAACCTCATGAACACACTCATCCACTGATAAGTAAAAGAAAAATGACCCATCCAAATCCCCGGCCCGGGGACTACCTAGAGGGGAATTCCCAAATTCCTTCTATTTTGTCCAACTGAGCCCAGGGAAAGTCACAGCGACAAAAAAGTCATTTTAAAAATAAGTCGGGGAATCTGTCTCACGTCCCACCTTATTGTACAAGCAGCAGCCCTTTGTCCTTTTGCATGCTTTTACATTTTTTTAAAAGTCACTAGAAACTACATTTTCCCCGCATACCAAGACAGAAAGGGCAAATCATAAAGGTGGTGCCCCTACAGAGTAAAAAAACAAAGGGCCCAATATCAAACTTCCCATTGCTACCCAAAAATTTTTTGAGAAACTCGTGCAAGGGGATTATTCATTTTAACGCCCACAAAAATAACCAACCCCTGCCAATTTGGATTCAGGAAAAAAATAAAAGCAAAATTGAGAAAATTTAAAAAATCTAGACCTGTTTCAAAGTTTTGGGAAAGAAAGGGAAATCCCCCTGGGAATTTTTTTTGCCTAAGGAAAGCTTTTGACGCAGTAACCAGGGGCATCCTACCCCAAAAACTTGACCACTATGGTAAAGAGGCCATGCCTTGCATTTTTTAAAATCCTCCCTTTTTAAAAGGGGACAGTATGTCCCCTTTAAAAGACACAGCCTTATAAATGGCCATTTGTTACGGGATTTCCACAGGGAAGTGCCTTGGACCTCTGCCTTCTTCTTTTTACTTTCAAGATCTTCCAAACATACCCCAAAACCCTAAAAACCCTTTCTTTTGTGACGACAAGACTTTGCTTTCCCCCACCCTAATTTTGCCCCCCTCAACCCATTGTTAACGGGGAGCTGCTTAAAATGTCGACTTGGAGACAGCCAATAAACTTGCACTTAACACGGGCAAAATTTTATTTGTTTGGTAGCAGAGCAGGTGTTGCGCAACCAAAATTTAAAGATCGACAACACTCTAATTGCCAGATAAAATGGGGCAAACCTTTGGGGCCTATACCTCCCCAAAAACCCAAAATTTCGCCCCCAATATAAAAACACATAAAAAAAAAAGTATCCAAAACGGTGGGGATCCTCCCCAAGATCGATATGAACCGCAAACTCCCCTTCTCACACATCCATTCATTATTTTCCAAAACCTCACCTATGCTTCTGTGTTGGGGTTAAACTGCAGCAACGCACCAAAACCAAAAATAACCCAAAAAAAACCCGCAGTAAGAATAATCAATCCCATCCCTGGAACACACCCCTCCCACTCTTCATGATCAAAAATTTTCTTCCTGTTCGAACATCCCACTTATACTGTGCAATCTATTCTACAGGCCCTTAAATTCCAAATATTAACCTTGACCTAAAGCTTCTTGAATTTGTGCAGGACCACAGGCATAAACCCAGACACAACATCCTATGAATTTCCCGTGCTCGAAAACCCTTTTTAAAAAAATTCAATGTATTTAAAGGGGACCTAAAATTGGAACACCCTCCCCTGAAAACTCTAGAACTGCGGGACACATTCATCACTTTCAAAACAAACAGTTAGAAAAATCTTATCCCCCTGTTTCCACCCCAACAAAAACTACATATAACCACCTGGTGGTTAAAAAATTTCACTCACTCCCCCACGTTTTAAACCCAGAAATACTAATTTAATTTTAAAAATAATAAATCTAACTAGTCATAAGTTTCCCATGAATCAAATATAGCACCTTTATTGTGCCAAAACAAAGCATTCACACGCAAAACTCACAAATTATGATTAGTAACTTAGCCTTAATACTATAATCTGTAAGGACTTAATGTTGAATTAATCTAAGTTGCTGGAAATCCCCTACCTGTAGGTGTCCTGGGGCCCCCCTCTGTAATTAGTTTTTTTAAAACATGAAAACCCAACAAATCCCCAAAAAATGTGGGGGGGGCCCCGATTGTTGAAAAAAAAAACTTGAATTGAATTTAACATGTAAAACAATTAAAGGCTTTCGTTTTCACTCACTTTGGGGGGTAGTACCTCCCTGGGGGGTTGCTGTCTACCACCCACACGTATTAAAGCAGCTTTAGTAGGTAAATAAGTACACTGCAGTTAACAAGAATGGGGTAATTAGTGAAGTGTGTGTGTTTCACTAGCCTAAAAGTGTACAAACTCCCAGCTCACTACCCATCTCCCCAAACACAATTTTTACGAAATGGGTTTTTTATCACAAAATTTCTTTTTCCCCCCTCCCCAAACAACAACCCCCCCCTTTATCCCAAAATTATACCAAACAAATGGGTAATAAAATAAAAACAATCAGACCACGAGCAACATTCATAGGTAATGTCAGAACAACTAAAAGTTTTTTTACCCCGCATATCTAGGCCTCCCCACACCCCAAAAACAATGTCCTTACCCCGACTTGATGGGGAATTATCTGCAGTAATATTGGTAACAGAAATGGTCATTCTGCCCCAGCATACCATAATGGAAATTGAGGCTATACAAAAAAAAAGTAAATTTAATTTTCAAGAAAATGGTAAGTGAATTGGGAAAAGAATTTTTTTTTCAACCACTGGCCACTCCCACCCAAAGGGAGGGTGACCTAAAAAGGAAACTGAAATTTCTTCTTTTTTTTTTAGTAATTTGATAGAGAAGGGTTACGAGTAATTTTATAGGTCTTGCTAACATTTTCCCTCCATCTGTTCAAAAAAACCAAAGAGGGTATGGGGCAAAAAAAACAAAAGAATAAAAAAAATATCAAAATTTCACACACCCATTAACTCATTAAGAGGGAGGGACAAAAGATGGGAAGGTCCCTTTTTTGGGTTTTTGTGTTTAGAAGAAGGGGGCTCCTTCCCCAAAAGTTATCCCAGCAATGAAGCTCTTCCTGTCTCCTTCCGTGTATTTCCTTTGCTAGAGGTGTCATTTTGGGACAGGTCAGAATGAGCTGTCTCTTCACAAGGTTTCAGTGTTTGTGTATCATTATTAGAACCATCCTGATCAAGGCTCATATCACTTCTTTCAACTGTGGCAGATAAATTTTCTGACAAATCAGATGCATGTGTTAACTGATTTACAAATGTTTCCTCTGCTTCAACAGTTTTGTCTTCAGCAATGTTAGCAATTGAATCTGGAAAAATATTTTTCACAGAGGATTGAATATCTTCAATTTGAGTATTTTTGCCAATCAGCTCTAAGTTTTCAATTGTATTATCATGTTTCTTGTCACATTCTGGAGTGCTTGCTGCAATGTTACTCTTGGGGGGAAAACCAGAAATTCTTTCCCGTTTCACAATTTTCATCATCACCCCTTCGTCCCCATTCCTCTTCCCCATTTACATCCTTTGATTGTGTAGAGAACAAAACGGAAGAGGGAAAATTGCTTTCTTTGGGGATTCGGATAATCGCAACTTTCCTCGTGTGATTGGTTAAAGGGTTCCCCTGAGAAAAAATCCAACTTTCTTGACATCTGAAAAAAAAAAGGCAGCTAAAACATATCTTTACACTTTATTTCTTTGGAAAAAAAAATATTTTAATACTATTTCCCTATTCAAGGAGATAACTTGGAAAAATAGTACAAAACCCAAAACAATGGAAAAATAAAAAACTTAAACGTTTTTGCGCCTTTTAATCTCTTTTTAAAACACCCCAGGTTCTAGACTCCCACCCCTACTTGGGGAAAATTGTCACGTGCAGAATTTTCCACCGACTCCATTATATAGTTACTCACTCCTTTCCCAGGGAGTCTGTTTTGTGACTTGATAAGCCCCCATTATACTGCTTAAATGTTTTATTTCCAAAAAGACAACTAAAGAAATTGATACACTTAAAAAAATACAAGTTCCCGCAGCAAAAAGGTTAACTGAAAACTGAATAAATAAATGAATCACAAAAGGTTTTACAAAATATTTCAACAGCAAACAGTAGTAGTAGTTGAAGAATAGTATTGGACCCCAAAAGCTGGGCTCAATCTCCACAAATTTAAATACAGTAGATAATCACCCAGACTTAGAAAAAAATTGATTTATTTCATAACTTATAAACCCAAACCATCATTCAAAATATCTGCTATACTTACTTTACTTCCACCCATTACCCGCCAATTTACAACTTTGTAACAGACTTTCTGATTCTTTTTTTTATTTATGAAATATAAGTATCTACAAGGCTAAAATGCCATACCAGAAACTTTAAACCCCTTTTGGTGTCAGTCCTGTATAAACATGGCTCTGAAGCCTGTTTTCGTGTTTTATCACGGCTTTGAAGCCAGTACTGGTTCGTAATATAATGCCATGAGCTTGTTACCAGGTAAGCTGAACGGGAAATTTGGCCGATATGAGAGAAAGGGTCTTGCAGTAAGTTGAACCATATAAAAAAAACCCGAGCATCAGGCTAATGAGGAAACAAAAAAAGTGAGTGTTTTTTGGGTTTTAAAAAAGCGACTTTGCGGTGTTTTTCACAGGTTTTTATAGCTTTTCCATTTTTTTGGGTTTATTTGATAGAATGGAAGATAAATTACAGAAATAAGGGTATTCTGATTGGTTTCAGGAAAGAAAGTACTGAAATTTAGCTCAAAGTTGCGAAAATTTTTTTGTTTTTTTTCCCTGTTCAAGGTAAACAAATCCTTCACACATCCAAAACACATCACCTGGTGGGTCTAACATGCGTTTATGAAGAAAATTATTTTACAATTATTACAATAATGCGAAGTATGCTAAAAGTAAATCTTCTATTTTTTTTGGGAATAAAAAAATTAAAATGGAAAGCAAGAATAAATGAGAGGGGGCTGGAGACGTGGCTAATGAACAGAGAAAGTTATTTTAGTGCCAGGAATGTCTGTAGTGTTTATTCTGGACCCTATTTGGAAATTGGCCTTTCATGAATTTTGCATGAAATTGGCCAAATTATCAATTTCTGATCAGTTTATTCAGTAGTTGAAATAGGTTAATGGGTGGTTTCTTGTACTCAATCGATAGAATAAAAAGTAACAGCTATGGATTTGTTATTGGAAAAAATGAAGTTGGCCTAAAGTAAGGCTCAAAGTGGGTAAAATTGCCAATGCATAAATATCACCGAGACTGCTAACTTTGTGAGAGTGTAATTCTTTAAGTTTTCCATCAAATTTCATACTTTTGTTTCATTATCTTTAGAAAAAAGATTCTCTATCATTTCTTAAGAAAAAATATTTATTTACTTATTTTTTTAAATTCTTTGGCCGAAAAAATTTGGAGCACAGCATCCAACACTGAGATGTTTGATTAATTTTACGACGACACTTACCCCTGAAACCCTATATGATCATGTAATTTTAATCTCCTAAACTTGCCCCAAACAGCACACCAGACTGCTACAAAAATTTTTTTTTATTTTACTATTTGCAGTTAATTAAATACAGTAATATGTATTTTTTAAATTTGTTTAGAATCCCCCCCCCAAAAAAAAAAAAAAAATTTGATTGAGGGAAAAGTTAAGAAATAAAGTGAAAATAATTTGATTTTTTTTTTTTTTTTTTTTTTTTTTCACACCGGCCGATTCCCCCCAAGGGAGGGTGGCCCGAAAAAGAAAAAATTTCACCCTCATTCACTCCCCTCATGTCTTGCCCGAAAGGGTGCTTTACACTCGTTTTTAAACTGCAACATTAAAAACCCCCCTTTAGAGGCAGGCACTGTACTTCCCCTCCGGGCTCAAGTCCGGCTGCCGGTTCCCCGAATCCCTTCATAAAGTTACTTTTTCTCACACTCCAACAGCACGTCAAGTATTAAAAACCATTTGTCCATTCATCCTATCAAAAACGCTCAAAATGCCTGCTGGAAGTCCCCAAACCCCCGCCCCAAAAACCCCCTTTACCCCCCCCCCTCCAACCCCTTTCCTTGGCCCACCCCCACCCCCCCTTCCTTCCCTACAGACTGATACACTCTTTAAGTCTTTTGTTTCGCTCCATTTTTCTACATGTCCGAACCCCCAAAAAACCCTTCCTCAGCCCTCTGGACAACAGTTTTGGGAACCCGCACCTCCCCTAATTCCAAACACGAATTCTCTGATTTTAAAATTTACACCACCATTTGATAGGGTTCCCAAAGCAATTCATTTTCACTTTTTTTTCTACACTACATTCAGTACTGCTTAAAAATAAACAAGTGGGTATTTTGCAACACTCTTGCATCCCACTGAGGAGGGAACCCAAAAATGAAGAAACAAAAGTTTTTTTCCCTTTTTCATTTATAAATTTTTAATGGAGAAGGGGTTACTAGCCCTTTTTTCTGGGATTTTAGCTGCCTCTTTGATACCCCGGGTTTTTGGGGAAAGGGTTTTTCTCCACTTTCCCATGGAGAAATCAATTACCCTTTAAAAAAATTTTACTTCACTAAACAAACCCCGGTTTAAAAGAGGGCATGTTATGTCAAATTTCTAAGCCCCTGTTTAATTTTTTGATAACAACTGGGGAAGGCCAAATTTTCATGCTCTCTCTCTTGACCCTCTTTTGGGGCCCCCCGGTAATACAACCAGCCCCCTCCCTAATCAAATCAAAAGAAAATTTGATCCTAAGACTCCAAAATCAAGTTTAATAATTCTGAAATCTTATATTAAAAATTTTCTGGAGCAGTAGTGTATTTAGAGGTGTATTTAGAGCGGTCAGGTGAAACATATCGACTTCTTTATTTTTCAACCGATTTCGTTCATTTTTGGTTTTCTATTAGAAGTTATAAAAAAAATCTGTGCTGAAGTTTCAATCATATTGGCCAAAAAGGAAATGAAATATGCAAAATTTACGAAAAATTGCATTTGGCAGGGAAGTCCTTCTCAGTGGTACTTGGAAAAGTGGTTTTGACACTTGCTGCTGATAGAACACCTCTAATTCCATCACTTTAAGTGTACCTATTCTAAAATAAACCTTATCTTCATGCTAAAAAAAAAATAAGTTTCATAACTTTTTTGACATATTGGAAGATGTCGGTCTTGTTGCCCACATAAATCTAAAAATATTTGGGATAGTTCAGAAAGGTACACTCCACCTTGTAAAGCAATCATTCTCCTATGTTTGTTGTGAAAATCAAGTCAATTCAATCATAAATAAAGATGGATTGCCCCTAAATAGGTAAATAAGTTACTTTCGAGTTATAGGCCGAAGCGCGCGGCACCCCAGCTGCCCGGGAAATAATTTTTTTCCCCGAAAAATTTGCTTTATTTTACACTTTTTGCGTGACCTACGAGTGTTTATTACAGTTAACCATTGTAAATCCGTTTTCTCTCATCACTTGTAAGAGATACGAAACTTCAGGGGATACACCGATAGAAATTTTTCCCTCTTGGGCATCATATTATGCTATACAGTGGACCCCCGCATACCGGACGCATCGCATACCGGACAATCCGCATACCGGACGCTTTGATCGCAAAAATTTTGCCTCGCATACCGCCCAAAAACCCGCTCACCGCCCTTCGTCCGAGACGCGTCCAACGTGCGGCCTGAGCCACGCTCACATGTTCCGCCGGTGGCATTGTTTACCAGCCAGCCTCCGCGGTAACATCCAAGCATACAATCGGAACATTTCGTATTATTACAGTGTTTTTGGTGATTTTTTCTGGAAAATAAGTGACCATGGGCCCCAAGAAAGCTTCTAGTGCCAACCCTACAGCAATAAGGGTGAGAATTACTATGGAGATGAAGAAAAAGATCATTGATAAGTATGAAAGTGGAGTGCGTGTCTCCGAGCTGGCCAGGTTGTATAATAAACCCCAATCAACCATCGCTACTATTGGTGGTACAGCTGCTGCTGTACCACGGTCAGCTGCTGCTGCACTGTCAGCTGCTGCTGCTGTACCACCGTCAGCTGCTGCTGCTGCTGTACCATCGTCTGCTGCTGCTGTAGCATCGTCTGCTGCTGCTGTAGCATCGTCTGCTGCTGCTGTAGCATCGTCTGTTGCTGCTGTAGCATCGTCTGCTGCTGCTGTAGCATCGTCTGCTGCTGCTGTAGCATCGTCTGCTGCTGCTGTAGCATCGTCTGCTGCTGCTGCTGTAGCATCGTCTGCTGCTGCTGTAGCATCGTCTGCTGCTGCTGTAGCATCGTCTACTGCTGCTGTAGCATCGTCTGCTGCTGCTGTAGCATCGTCTGTTGCTGCTGTAGCATC